CGTAAAACTTTGTATAAACCATAGACAACTTCAACAAAGGTGTTTTATAAAAACAAACTAGTGTACATTGAAACATTTTATTAAAATGAAAATACATTTTGTAAAAAAAATTCAAATTTTTACGGTTGTTTTTCAACAAAATCTTCTAAATTTTCTATAATCTATTGCAATTTAGTTAATGTTAAGTAACATATTGCATGCATATAAAACTATCAGCGGTGTTCAGTTTGGTCGTCGCTACAAATGCATCAGCTAAAAAATTTGTGAGTTTGCATTGTCGTACACCAGGCCCATTACGACAGCTTGCATGACATCAAAAATTTCAAAGAGCTTCTGAAAGCTGTCGTACTGAAGTTGCCATGGTGTTCTGGCACCGTAACAAAGTTTTATAGCACTGTACCGGTTTTTGATATTCATCATCTTATACCACGTGGTCACTATTGAAATAATATATATGTATATTATATATGTTTCAATATATTTATGACTTTCCATAGTTTTAGACAATCATATATTATTGCTAACTTGAATAACTTGCACGTATATGCTTTTTCGCTTTTTGTCGACTAGCGTGTCTTCTAACATTTCAATTAACGTTTCTTTAATAAACAATTATATTAAAAACAAACAAAGAAGTTTTTTATTTTGAACAGGTTATGGGCCCGGAACGCTTAATAAATTGTTTAGAGAAAAAGTTATTTTGAAAAAAAGAAAGAGATTGCAATTCGTGACTAAAAGAACTTTTCCAACTATCGTTGAAGCAAGAACATCAATTTTTTTTTCTTCAAAATGGACTCAAAGCTTCAAATAAAACAGTTAAGTTGCGCAGCCGATTGGCCCATTTGGAAACGTCGTGTTCGAGATTTTATGGACTACCATGAGGGCGCACTTGATGTGATTGATGGGAAGTTGTCAAAACCAGAATTACTAGAAAATCAAACAGAGCAACAGACAAAAGATTTTAAAAATAAATCAGATCTGTTTAGAAAGGCAAACAGTTATGCCAAATCAGTAATTGCGAATGCAGTCACAGAAGATACATACCAAAAGATAATGGACAAGAACACAGCGTTTGAAGTTTGGGAGAAATTAAAAAGAAATTTTGAAGCGTCAACTAAGGACCAACTGTTCCAAGTTAGTAGCAATTTTTTCGATTTCAATTGGATAGCGGATGTAGATGTATCCGGCCAAATTGCAAGATTGAAGACTTTATGGAACGAATTAAACAGTGGGCTTCAGGCATCGGGAGAAAATAAACTACCAGAGCTGCTATTAGTATGCAAAGCAGTGCAGATTCTCCCAAATAGTTTCCAAAACTTTAAATCAAGTTGGCTAATGCTAAGTGAAGAAAAGCAGTCGATAGATGATTTAATCACTCATCTCTGTGCTTTCGAAAGAGAGATAAAGACTTTCGACACAATCGATAAATCATCAAGGCAGAACGCCTTAGTTGTAAATGTTGAAAAGCCAAGTTTCAACAAATCAAGAGATTTCACTAAAAGGACAAAACCAGTTGGTAACTGCAACTATTGCCATAAACCTGGACACTGGGTTAAGCAATGTAGAAAGTGGGTCAGTGATGGAAGACCTTTTAAAAATTCCAAAAATGTTTCAGCGACACCAAGAAAAGCATATGATGAAACATCAAATGTAGTTTTTTTGCACATCAGCCAGTAATCAAACACTGAGAGACAACACTAAGTGGTATATTGACAATGGAGCAACAAAGCTCCTAACGAACAATCCAGATAATTTTGTTACTTTTGAGAAGTTTGTCGCACCATGTTCTGTTCAAGCTGCAGGAAAAGAAGTTTTTGCTGCTGTGGGTAGAGGCGAAATAAATATGCTGTCAACAGTAAATAACAAACAACAGTATATAAAACTCTCAGATGTCTGGTATGTTCCAAATATAGGTAGAAACCTGTTTTCCATATTAGCCGCACAAGATAAAAATTCAAAAAACAGCAAGTTTGAATCTTATGCAACCAAATGTCAACTCAGTATAAAGAACCATGTGGTAGTACAAGGGACAAGACGAGAAGATGGTTCCTTGTATGAGGCAAACTTGATTTCATTAACTCCAGATACACCGGCTGAAGTGAATATAGTCAGTGAAAATTCAATAGTGCAGCTCTACCATGAACGTTTTGGTCATCAAGATAAACGTCACATAAAGAATGTTATAGAAAAGGAGTTAAACATTAAAGTTCATCTTGACAAGGATTTGTGTGAACCATGTCTCTATGGTAAAGCACATCGGTTAAAATTTGGCAAGAGAAATGCAACCAATAAACCAGGTGAACTACTATCAGCAGATGTTTGTGGTCCTTTCAGTACAGAATCATTTAATAGTAAACGATATTTTGTTGTTTTCAAAGATCATTACAGCAAAATGAGGTTCATTTCTTTTCTTAGACACAAAAATGAAGTGAAACAGGCACTACAAAATATTTTGTCTCAAGCAGCGACTCAAGGTCATAAAGTAAAAGAATTTTTGAGTGACAATGGGGGTGAGTTTGACAACGAAGAAGTTCGAAACATCCTGCGCAGCCATGGAATCACGCAAAGACTAACAGCACCATATACACCTCAACAAAATGGTGGTAGTGAACGTGAAAACAGAACAATAGTAGAAATGGCACGCACATTGAAGTACTCAAATCCAGATTTTGAATTTCCAGTCGCTATGTGGGCTGAGTTAGGTTCAACTGCAGTATATTTACTTAATCGAACAGGCAAGTCGTCGATTGAAGATAAAAGCCCATTTGAAATTTGGACAGGTAAAAAGCCGAGAATTAACCATTTGAGAATAATTGGCTCTACATGTTTTGTTCACATACCTGATCAAAAACGTCAAAAAATGGATAAGAAAGCCATAAAAGCCTTGTTGGTTACGATGGTGACGAACGCTATCGTATATGGCTCAAAAATCAATATAAAATGATATTCTCAAGAGATGTAGTTTTCCAAGAAAAACCTATGAAATGTACAACATCATTTGAACATCAGACTCAAAAAGATTTTACAACAGATCCTCAAATCAATTGCAAATCAGAAAATGACTCGAGTAGTAGAAATGATGATTCAAAGGAAGAAATTACAGATGACACTGAGAAGATTATAGATAATTCAGTTAAAGTTCAACTCAGAGATAGGTCAAGCTGGCAGAAACCTAAGAAGTTAGATGATTATGTGATGCAGGCTGAGACATATTTAGTAGATGTACATGAACCAGATACATACAAAGAAGCCATTCAAAGCAGGGAAAGTAAATATTGGAATGATGCCATGAATAATGAAATTAATTCATTAAACAAAAGTAGAACTTGGGAACTTTGTGAGCTACCCAGAGGAGCTAAAGTTATTCCATGTAAATGGGTTTACAAAATAAAAACCTTGCCAGACGGAAGTGTAGATAGATACAAGGCAAAACTTGTGGCAAAAGGATTTTCACAAAATGTAGATTACAATCAGACGTTTAGTCCAGTAGTTGACTACAGTTCGCTCTGTACTAAGTATTGCAGCAAGTGAAAAAGTGCATCTTCTTCAATTTGATGTATCAACTGCATTCCTGTATGGCGGATGAAGAAGTCATCTACATCAAACAACCAGAAGGATATAATGATGGCTCAAAAAAAGTTTGTCGATTGCTCAAAAGTCTGTATGGTCTAAAGCAAGCACCCCGTTGTTGGAATCAATGCTTCGGCAAGTTTCTTTTTGAATGTGGCTTTAAGTCGAGTGAAGCGGATCCATGTCTGTATGTTAAAAAAACAGAATGAAAACATTATGATGTTAGCGTTGTATGTTGATGATGGACTGGTAGCCGCTAGCAACACAGAAGATTTAGATCTATTCATTGGAAAATTGAAGCTGAAATTTCAGGTTACAGTTAAACCTGCAACATATTTTCTAGGTTTTCAAATAGAAACTCTATTGGATGGAAGCATAAAAGTTTGTCAATCTGGTTATGCAAGGAAAATTCTTAAACTTTTCAGATTTGAAGAATGTAAACCAGTTCACACCCTAATGCTTAAAGAAAATGATAATAATCAATCAGACATAGCAGGTTCAGAATACCCTTTTCGACAACTAGTTGGAGCATTAATGTACCTGATGTTAGGTACAAGGCCAGACATTGCGTACAGCATTAGCTATTTATCACGCTCCCTCGAGAACCCAACACCAGGAGATATAATAAAAGCAAAACGAGTGCTTAGATACTTAGCAGGAACAGTCGATCAGAGCATTGTGTACAGATCAGACAGTACAAAAGGAGTTTCACAGTGTTTCAGTGATTCAGATTTTGGAGGCTGTAGAAAGACTAGACGTTCGACCACAGGTATTGCAGTGATATATGCAGGAGGCATAATATCATGGATTAGTCAACGACAGGCCATAGTTGCAACATCTACAACAGAGGCTGAGATCATCGCTGCGACAGAGGCTGTCAAAGAAATAATTTGGCTTCAAAGATTATTCAAATCATTACAGGTTGATTTGAAAGATGTGCCAATCTTGCAAGTTGACAACAGTGCTGCAGTCAAATTAGCTCAGAACCCACAATTTCATCGGCGAACAAAACACATTGACTTGAAGAACTTTTTTATTAGAGAAAAAAATTCAAGATGGAACGGTTGATATCACACAAATTTCAACAAGTGATCAAGTCGCTGATGTGATGACAAAGCCACTGGACAGAGTCAGACTGAAACTCCTGTGTGGACATATAGGACTAATGTCATAAAATGTATTAAAAACAAACAAAGAAGTTTTTTATTTTAAACAGTCACAAAATTACAGTTTTTCTTTCAAGGTAAGTAACGCTGCCTCTGTTTTTTAATAGAAAACTTGACACACCAAAAATAAACTCTAACGTTGCAAAAATTTGAAGTGTACCGACATGTAAGTAAGTAAGCTTAGTGAAACGTAAAACTGTCACTCTGGTTTGTTCATAAAATGCTTTCACATCACTCCAATGTGCAACTAAACTCTGACCATCTTTAGTAAATGTAGATCTTGTTTTGGCTCAGTGATTCAGTTATTTCGAATGTTAATGAACACATGCACATAGTCATATACCAGGAATACTTTAGTGACATGGCCTGGAAGATTTGCCTGTCCTGAGGCCTAAGGTTGTTGTACAGTGATTAATTGATTGGACATTGATCGCACACTATAGATATAATGCAACCACTGTTTTTCACAACGGATTCAACAGCTTCGAAAAATAACACTGAGGTTGCTTTGCATTGAGTTTAGTTACAGGAATGACCCGGTAATAAAACGAGATCGGCTGAAATCAATGGATTGTGACGTTGAAGTTGAAATTTAAGTTGTTTTAAAGCCATTTGTTATAATTTGTTATAAACCCAAGTTTAAAACACCGAGCTTGAGGGCCGTCCTTAATTTCTAAGTCCTTAATGTAAGGTGTCTATGGTATGAGCACTGCATCATTATTCAGGTGAATTTATAAATTTATGTATAAAAGTAATTATAATTTTGTTTATGTATTATATGAACATTTATAACAAATTGCTTGTAGATATCTAATTAAATTTAAACACATTTTACACGTGTTTGTGTTCGTGAAACAAGCTCCTTACCCGCGCGCGTAACGCGACAGTTGTAGGGATCATTTATTGTAAACATATTAGGCAAAAGCGTTGATTTTTTTAGATGTTCTATTTTATTTAACATTTTATGTATCACATATCATCATACATATACATTTACATATACCGTAATTTTAGAATGTTTGACCAATTAAGTTTTATTCAATCGATAGACGACATTTTTTGGAATACACATTTGTTTTCTTATTATATTGTACCTACTATTATATTCTTCTTGTTTTTTCAAACATTCTAATTAACGTTAAAATGATTTCATAAGTTACATTTTATATGTCGTAAAACCACTTCAGTTTATTATTTTGTACAGCAAATAAATAGTTGATATATTTAATCAACTCAGCTATTTAATCAAATCAGCTTGTTAATCTATTCTGTTTACAACCAGTCATAAGATTGGCAAATGTGATTGATGAGGTCGAATTGTTGTGCCAAAGAAAGGTTCGTATCGGAGAATAAACACTGATTACCAATTTCCTATCGCTTACTAATCAATACAATTATTAATAATTAAAAAATGATTCAATATTGTTATTCTGATTAAAAACTATCTGTTAATCAAAAAACGTCATTAAGAATTACAACGACATCTGGAACAACAACTATCACAAACAAATATGTTATACGTGTATAAAACGTGGAAAAGATGAATTTATGACAAACATGGTGAGCGCCTTTGTGTAATATAAAAGAGCACTATATAAATTTTCTAATAATATTTTAAAAAGGGTAATAATATGAAATGTGTCCACCAACAATAAACTGACCTCAACTGAAAGAATGGGTACCGTGTCGACGCCATCCTTCTGTGTTGAAAAAATTGAAAGGATAGAGAGGGTGTTTATTTCAAAAAGTATTTGTCCTTCATTGCCAGCGCGTGGTCTGAAGTCGACCGTTGCAAACAATTGAAGACAATTTTTAAAGTTAGCAAATTTCTTTCTGATATAACAATTCTTTTGAGGCATTTTCATGTTTTATTCTAGCGTCCTTTGTTATTAAATAATCTCATGATATTAATTATAATGATAACATTTATATATGAGAAAAAGAAAACTTTATTTTGCAAAATATATAATATATTTATATATACGAAAATGAATTGTAAGATGAATTAATGTAATTTAATATACGTTCAGAAAAAAAAGAAATATAGACCCAAAAACACTGAGGAAAGCAGGAATACCTAAAAATATTATGGATATTAATACGAGAAATTAAGGTAGCACACAATAGTGGATATTATAAAAAATGTAAAAGAATTAGATTCTTTAGAGCAAATTTTACAAAGTGGGAAACTAAATATTTGAAATTTTTTTTTTACTAAATTTTCTCTGATTAAATTATTATTTAATAATGCAATTTCGTCAAAAAACACTGAAAATTAATTGGTTGGAATCGTTCATGATCATTACTTTAAAAAATGTTTTTTTAAAAATTAGAAAAAAATAGTTTCTGACCTGGGCTTCTCAGTTCGACCATGGTTGTGGACTAGACTGTGAAAACTTATTTTAGTTTCATCATTCATGTCGACACCTGATTTAGTACTTGGAATTTCGCGATATTTGACATGGTTGTTGAGAAGTTTAACATTTGAGCTGAAGTTATTTTCTTTACTGCAGTTCTGCTCGTGACGGTTGATAGCAGGAACGAACGTCGATATGGTCTTCATTAGAAGGCTGTAAAATAATACAAAAATGAATGAGTTTATCGCCATTTCTACATCGTCCTTCCTTGGTAAGCTACTTATCCGTTTTGAAGCAGATATTCAGGCAAACTAAGCAAATAAAATAAAAATTAACACATCCATGTTATGCAACAGCCATGTCTACAAACAATCATTTTTCATTGCTTCTGGATGTAAATATGTTATAGAGTTTGTATGATTTGCAGATATATGCGAATATACATGTATTGTAAGGCTTCCCAACCTGGGAGACCAACACCTAGAAAGGTTGGCACACATTGATTGCTATATAGAAAAAGAAAATAGTTTATATTTGTGTATATATATATATATATATATATATATAGATTTGAAAAAACTGTATATATGTATGTATATATATATATATATATATATTTATTTATATATATATATATATTTATTTATTTGTATGTTTATTGATATATATATATTTATTTATAACATTCTTTTCTTAATATTTTTCCTAGGTATGTATACAGGAATAATTTATACATGTGTATAATTTGTACATATACTATATAAAACAGATATTTTTTATATAATTAATTACCCATAATAAAATAATTTACAATTTTCAATGGTCAACAAACGGACGGGGAAACATTCTTTAAATTTAACTCTTAGCAATTTGGTCGTGGAAACTATTTGAACATATGTTAGAGGATGCAGAGCTTTAGTCGACGACGACGAGTGTATGAGGCGTGCAGATGCACAAGAAATTGTACACCAGTTTGTGCGACAGCTTGTGTACACTGATGAAATCGTACGCGCTGATGAAATCGTACGCAACTCCTGCTCTGGCTTTCTTCATTATGAATTGGTTAGACAGTAACTTGAAATATGACAAAAATGGTTGCATACAATGGTTGCAACAATAAAATAAATCCATAGATAAAAAAATCTCTAGATTAGAGACATGTCTTGAATGTGTTCGGTAAATTGTGGTCTATAGATGAATATTATGACATTGTCAACATGAAAATATGTCTTAACAAAATAATGAATGAAAAAGATCAAAATTGTAAAAATTTTGGCGAAGACAAATAATACAAACATTTGTCTAATTTGATGTATAAGTTAATAAAAAATGGTGTGGCACTAAAGTTTGCATTGAGTCAACTGAAATTGATGATGAAAGGTAAACATTGTACATATAATATATATACATATTATTATTATTATTCGAAAATTTGTATAGCGCTAATTACATACAAAATGTTTCTCAAAAGCACTGTCTAAAAAAACAGTTGAATTGCTACGATAAACCAAATCTTATAATGAAAAACAAAAATGATTTCAATAATTTCTTGAACGATTTTTCTGTCGGTTCGGGTTGTCATAGATAACTTGGTAGACTATTCTAAACGGCTGGTCCACTTACTGAGAAACTTCTCTCCGCCATTTTCAAGTTGGTTTGGAGCACACGCTATCATCAGACCTTAAGCAGACAGTTTTAAAAGACAGTTGTTTCGGTGCATGCATTTCTTTCTAATAAACTGGCGCTATTCCCTTCATACATTTGAACATGATTGTTGATATTTTGAACAAAATTTTTTTTTGACCATCAACCAGTGCAGTTCTCTGAATATCGGGGTAACATGGTAAAATTTTTTTGCACCAACCACGATATTATTATTATTATTATTATTATTAACGGGGTTTAAAGTGGTTCAGAAGACTATGGTCTGTGTAACAACCACTACTAATTAGATCTCCTAATATCCTATTTGTCCGAGTTTGGCTTTGAAGCTGTTGAGTGAATTTGCAGAGACTGCATCATCGCTTAGCTCGTTCCAGGCGTTGACCACTCTACTGCTGAAGAATCTGCTCTTTATTTTTCCATCCGAGTTTTTGAAAAACTTAAATCTGTGTCCTCGTAGTTTATCACTGTTTACTAGCCTGAAAAATCTCGAGTATGGTGTTGTTTCCCTATTCGTGATCAATTTATATGTTTGGATTAGATCTCCTCTACATCTTCTTTTTTCTAATGATGTTAAGTCGCATTTTTTCAATCTCTCATCGTATTCCATTTTTCCGATTCCTCTAATCATTCTTGTGGCTCTACGTTGTACTTTTTCTAAAACTTCCTTATCTTTTTGCATATATGGGCTCCATGCTTGAACACAGTACTCCAGATGAAGTCTGACTAGGGTTTTATACAGTTTCAGTATGATATGCTTCTCTCTGCTGACCATTGTTCTTCTTATAAATCCCAAGATCGTATTGGCTCTGGCCGCTTCAGCTGTACATTGTCTAGATGGTTTTGTGCTTTGATGAGCAATGATTCCTAGATCCTTTTCTTCCGCTGTCGATCGTAGTTCTCTTTCACAAATTTTATATTCATATCTAGCGTTCTTCCTCCCTAAGTGCATGATTGCACATTTGTCAACGTTGAAAAGCATTTGCCAGTCCTTGGACCAAGGGGCGAACAGAAATTGCGATTGACCCCGGTATTGCACGGGGTCATCGCGGGGTATAGGGTTTAGTTTTCAACTAGCAATAACCACGCCTCGGATGAACCTCACTGGCTATGGTACTGCCTCTGCGCAAAGCTATATATATATATATGTATGTATATATATATATATATTTTTTACAATATTCTATAAATTATGGTCTATTACAAACATATATATATATATGTATATATATATATATATATATATATATATATCAGTAAATTTCGGTAACAAATTTTCATTTAAGCATATTTCATTAAACGCGATGCTTGTATTATTGTTATTTAATTTTTTATTAAGATTTTCTATTTTTCTTATTAGTTTTTTATAATTATAATTTAAATTAAAAATAAGAACACCAATATTCATTATATAATTATTTATTAAGCGACGTTTCGAATTTTATAATTCATCTTCAGGCAATTTAATATTAATTCAAATAAAACATAACAATAAACTGTCACATGACGTAATAAGAGTTGAGCGCGAAAGTAACGTAACGATTAAAGTTAAATAACGTAAGTAGTTAAATTAAGTATAATAAACAATTATTTTGTAATATAACATAATAAAATATATTATATGTGTAATATTATGTTAATAATAATAATAATAAATTAAACATTTCGTGATGAAGGTAAAATAAAATTGGAATAAATTTGTTTGTTCAAATTAGGTTTATAAATATTAATAAATAGGGATTCTAAAATTTGTAGTCTGTTAAAATTAGTGTCTTTCATTAATATTTTAGTATTATCTTCTAATATTTTGCGGGATAATTGCTGGTTGTGGCAGTCATGGTAGTGTTGATTTGGAGCTCCGATGTTCAAATGGCAGGTTAAACGGCGTGTCAGTTTTGTGGTAGTCATTCCAATATAAGAAGATGGACGAAGCCTACAGTCTTCGTGAGGACATAGAAATTGGTAGATGACGTGGGAGTGCTGTGTTGTTGCTAGTTTAACGTTGGGACTATTTTTTATTAGTAGTTGTTGCGACTTAAAATTTTATAATAAATAAGAAGGTTTATTTTTTCATTAGAATCAACTGGATGGACTCCTTTTTTAATGATTTTTTTAATTATATATTCGTCTTCTTTATACGAAGAGCTCATTAAGTTACGATAAAATAAAGTTAATTTTGCACTGTCGGTATTGTTGTTTGAGTTGTTGTTATTGTTATGATTGGAGTTTGCGATAACGAGGTTGTATATTATTATTATTATATAAAAATAATAATAATAATAATAATAATAATAATAATAGAAACGATATTCTAATTAATTTCGCGCTTCAAATTTGTGACATTGTTGGTTGCCATCTTGACAACGGCCACGTAGCATGAACAATCGTATAATTTCAAATATTTTGTTTACTAATTTCAATGAACCTTTGCGTTTTTATTTCGTTACTTTTATTTTATTTTAATATATTAAAAAATACAACTAATTAACTATTAATAGAATTTATTTAAAATATATTGCACTGATGATGACTTTACGTCGAAATAGATCTATATGCATAATTTTAATAATAATATAAAAATAAACGATTATAAAAATGGGATCTTGCTTGATTAATTTTAACAATTAAAATCATAAACGATTATAAAATGGATTTCAACATTTTGAATAGACTTAATTGTAAAGAACTAGTTCAAAATATTAGAAAATCAACCATAAAACTTGTTAATGCTGAATCGTCGGTGGATTTTTTGAACAACTGTATAGAACTTGGTCTTCTTCCTAATATATATATATATATATATATAGACTGTCAGAAATTCAATTATTGATGATGAAAATCAA